TTCTTACTTGTATAGGAAACTACCAAACTATTTTCAAAAGTGGTTGTACCATTTTACATTCCCCCCACTTGACAATGCCAGCTTATAAATTTATTCATTCTCAACGGTGTGTCATGGCATCTCATGGTGGTTTAATTTGCATTTCCTTAATGACTGATAATATTAAGCATCTTTTCTGGTGCTTATTGAGCATTTGTATATCTTTTTCTTTGCACATATTTTTTGGTGGTTTATTTCCTTAACAATGAGTTATAAAAGTTTCTTACGTATCCTAAAAACGAGTCCTTAGTATTGTAAATATTTTTCTCCTAGTCTGGGGCTTGCTTCTTTGCTTTCATAATGGTGTGTTATAAGTAGCAGAAATTAAAAGTTTTTGGTGAAATTAAGTTTATTAATTTTTCCTTCATTTCATGCTTTGTAAAGTTTGTTATATCTGAGAAGCCTATACCTACCCCAAGACTGCAAAGATTTTTTTCCTATTTTTTTTCCTAGAAGTGTGTATCTGTGTATAATTTTAGCTTTTACATTTAGGTTTAAGATTCATTTCAAATTACTTTTTGCGTGTGGTTTTAGAAAAGGGTTGAGGTTTATTTATTAATTGTATATGACTATTCAGTTGTTGCAGCACTATTTGTTGCAGTGACTACCCTTTCCCCATTGAATTACCTTGGCATCTTCATGAAAATCAGTTGACCATACACGCATGGGCCAACTTCTGGTTTCCCTATTCTGTTCCATTGGCTTATATGTCCATTCTTATGCTAATCCCATATTCTTTTGATTACTGTGGCTTTATAGTGAGTCTGACAATCTCTGTAGTTCAATTGGAATGTTTAAATCATTACATTTAATAGAATTATGGATTTTTATTATTTGTTTTGCTCCTTTTTCTCCTCTTTTCCTGCCTTCTTTTGGATTCCTTGAGCATTTCTTTATGATTCCATTTTACCTCCCAATTGTTCTATAAGCTATACTTCTCTGGTTTATTTTTATAATAATTGCTGTGGGGGTTACAATATACATCATTACTTTATCACAGTCTACCTTCAAACAATATTGTACCACTTCATATATTGTGTATCTTTTAAGAATACATTTCTATTTCCCTATCCTACATGCTGTTGTTGTCATACATATTTTCTAAACCTCACAATCCAGTTACTATATTTGCTTTACACAGTTAATTATCTTTCAAAGAAGTTTAAAAGTCTGACAACTTGTTTATATTTACCTGTATATTTACCATTTCTGATGTTTTTCATTCCTTTGTATCATTTACTTCTGGACGAAGAACTTCCTTTAACAGAAGTCTATAGGCTTATTTCTCTGTATATAATGTGTCTTTTGTTTCTGTCTCAAGTTTCTCTTGATCACTGATTTTTAGGAATTTGATTATGATGTGTCTTGGTGTGATTTCTTTGTTTATCCTACTTGGGATTCATTGAGCTTCATACATCTGAACTTATAGCTGTCATCAGGTTTTCAAAATTTTCTGCCATTATTCTTAAAATATTCTTTCTGCTACCCTTCAGCTCACTGGTTCTCCTCCTGGGAGTCCCATTATAAATATGTCAGACTGTGTGATGTTATCTCACAGGTCATTAACAGTGGTCTTTTTTTTTTCATTCATCTTTTTTCTTTGTGTTGTTTTGGATACTTTTTATTGCTACATCTTCAAGTTCAATAATTTTTTTTGTGCAGTGTGTTACTCCAGGAAGTAAATTTTATTTTCAAATATTGTCTTTTTCAGCTTCAGAAGTTCTTTTTTTTTTAAAGAAAAAAATCTTTTATTTCCTTCTCATTATGCTTATGTATTTCCTTAAATACTAGAATTTATTTATAATAGCTTTTTGAAATCTTTGTTGGCTTCATCATGCCTTAATTTCTGAGTATGTTCCTATTGACTGATTGTTTCTTGGTAAAAGATTATATTTGCCCATTTCTTGCATGTCTACCAATTTTTGGTTGGATGCTGGACATTGTGAATTTTATAGTGTTGAATGTATGGATTTTATTGTTTTTCTTTAAAGAGTTTTGAGCTTTATTCTGAAAGGCAGTGAAGTTACCTGTGGTTCATTTTTACTATTTTGAGGTTTATTTTTAAGTTTGTTATATTGGATATAGAGTAGCCTCTACCTTTCTATCAAGGTATGGTCTTTTTGGAGTCTCTACTGAATTTCTCTCCTCTGGCTGGAGAAAATCTGAACAATGCCCAGCTCTGTGAGAGTTCCTGGAACAGTTTAACTCACACAGCTCCCCAGCCACCCTTCACCCAACCCTGTGGAGTTTTAGTAGTCAACAAACCCTTAAGGAGACTCTTACAGAGATTTGTGGAGTCCTGTTTCTTCTAGCTCTTTCCTCTCCAGAACTCGGCCACACAGCTGCCTCTGCCTCCCACTTCCATCTTTGTCTCCATCCAGTGAGATTGCTGTGGGATTCCTGGGATCCTCCTCCCTGCTATGTGGAGCGATCATAGGGCTTACCTGTTTATTTTTCTTCTTCTATAAATCAATGTCCTTCACAGCCTGTTGTCCAATGAATAACAGAGTAATTTCATACATTTTGTCTAGTTTTCCAGTTGTTTAAGGCAGGGGAATAAGTCCAATCCCTGTTGCTACATCACAACCAGAAACAGAAGTCCTGTCCAGTGTTTTTTTTTTTTTTTTTTGAGACAGAGTCATGCTTTGTTGCCCAGGCTAGAGTGAGTGCCATGGCGTCAGCCTAGCTCACAGCAACCTCAAACTCCTGGCTCAAGCAATCCTACTGCCTCAGCCTCCCAAGTAGCTGGGACTACAGGCATGCACCACCATGCCCGGCTAATTTTTCTATACACATTAGTTGGCCAATTAATTTTTTTCTATTTATAGTAGAGACGGGGTCTTGCTCTTGCTCAGGCTGGTTTTGAACTCCTGACCTCGAGCAATCCGCCCGCCTCGGCCTCCCAGAGAGCTAGGATTACAGGCGTGAGCCACCACGCCCGGCCTGTCCAGTGGTTTTAATCGGGGGATATATGCATGTGTACAGATAGTGAAGTACAGAGACTGGACAGAAAAGGGGTACCTGGCGAAGCAAATTTTTAGAGGAAGGAGGAGACAAATCAAAATTGGAAAGTGGGAGGTAGGACAGATACCACTTTCTCCGAAATGAAAAGAAGAAAATAAAAATTGGCAAAAGCCTAAGTAAGTCTGAAGATCAGAGAAGAGAGCTTGGAAAGGAGTCTCCGGAGAAACAAACAGGCAGGCAAGTCTTCCTCTCCCTCTCTTGATTGGTGTGTGATAAAATAGCACTCTGAAACTATAATACTCAGATAACTTGTATATTGAGGAGAAGAAAAACAGCTTTCTTTTCCATTAACATTATAAGAAGACTTAGCGGCCTCCTGAGATGGTTTACACCTAATCCCAAACTGAGTATTAGGATGTTTCTCTGAAGTCCCTACATATAATTTTGAACTGGTACTTTTATCTTGATTATCTAGACCCAAAAGTAACTATTTCTAAAATGTATTCTGTGTACCGGATCCTTTAATATTAAAAACACCACAAAGCAGTATGATTTAATTCACTTTGCAGAAAGTTGTATTCAAAAAGTAGTTCATCTTAACCTTCTTCTCTGTAACTCGACACCTACTAGCATATGCTAAGTGCTCAATCTTTCTTAAATGAGTAAATGAGTCTGCATTTTGTAGATGAGGAAAGCAATGCTCTCTGAAGTCCTGACTTGTCCAATGTTGCATTGTTCACAGAGAAGGCACCAGGTCTAGACTGTGCTAGCTCTTAAGAAGCTTCTGATAGTCAGAATTGCTTGATAATTAAACCCAGTAATCAGGCCGGGCGCTGTGGCTCACGCCTGTAATCCTAGCTCTTGGGAGGCCGAGGCGGGCGGATTGCTCAAGGTCAGGAGTTCAAAACCAGCCTGAGCAAGAGCGAGACCCCGTCTCTACTATAAATAGAAAGAAATTAATTGGCCAACTGATATATATATAAAAAAAAAATTAGCCGGGCATGGTGGCGCATGCCTGTAGTCCCAGCTACCCGGGAGGCTGAGGCAGAAGGATCACTCGAGCCCAGGAGTTTGAGGTTGCTGTGAGCTAGGCTGACGCCATGGCACTCACTCTAGCCTGGGCAACAAAGCGAGACTCTGTCTCAAAAAGAAAAAAAAAAAAAAAAACAAAAAGAAAAACAAAAAACCCAGTAATCTACTGGCCTCCCTTATTTAAGAAAGTGTGGGCTTTTTTGTTTGTTTTTTGAGACAAAGTCTTGCTCTGTTGCCCAGGTTAGAGTGCTGTGGCATCAGCCTAGCTCACAGCAACTTCAAACTTCTGGGCTCAAGTGATCCTCCTGCCTCGGCCTCCCAAGTAGCTGGGACTACCGGTGTGTGCCTCCACACCCAGCTATTTTTTTTCTATTTTGGAAGAGATGGGGTCTTGCTCTTGCTCAGGCTGGTCTTGAACCCCTGAGCTCAAGCGATTCTCCCAGTGCGGCCTCTCAGATTGCTAGTATTACAGGCATGAACCACTGCGCCTGGCCTAGAAATGTATTCTTGACCACTAAACATACTAGAACAGAAGCCAGAAAACATTTTTTAATGATATTTCCTGACCTTTGAGGGAAGCATGATTGCTCTCTGAAAGCCTTTGCTGAGATGAGATCCCATTTTGATCCTAAAGAGTTTCTGAGTACATTTGCTAGCAACTTCTCAGATCTTTTAATAGAAAATTAATTTAAGCTAATGTAAGAGACACTTCCTGGAATATTGGAATGCAATATGAGGAAATAGGGCTTTAAATAGTGTTAATCTTTGTGGCTAAGTGAAGCACAATCTCTGTACTAAAGACAGATCAAAGGGCAAACAATTTAACAATAGCTATCCCCTTCTTTCAGGAAGGTCTAGGATGGGTTCCTTTTAAGCTTTTATATGTGTACATGGCTCCCCTATATTCTGTCTTTAAATGCTGAAGATTTATTAAAGCAAAGCATCACATTGCCAGACAGATATTATTAGAAACATTTTTATTTAAATTCAGACAATAGAAAGGTATCACAGAAAAAAAATTACAGAAACTTGCAACAACAGAATGCAAATTGCAAAATTTATTAGTAAATTAGAAGGGGAAAAAAGGTAGTCCTGATTTTACCAAGTGATTTGCTAGTCCTTAATAAAATAATTTATCAATTCAGCAAAGTATGCCCCTTGCTGGTATTTTTTGAACAGATAGTAATTTAACAATTTAGTCTATTAAATTGGTATCTACTAAAATCTTCCATAGTGAGATAGTCAAGGCAGTATCTCCCCAGCATTTTAGATACAACTTGGGGAACTGAAATATTACTGCAAAGTTGAAAAAAAACCCAAACACTTCATATGAAATAAGCATAACCTGGATTTCAGCCCATGGATGGTTCTCTGATAGAAAACGGGCTATCATAAGTCTGGACGCCCCTCCTCCGCACCCCTACACACACCACACACACACACATTGCATCCTGGAGCACAGGTGCTGTTGATGCCCTGCCTAGACTGCAGGCACAGAAGCCCTAGACTAAAAACAAGAGGACCTGGGCCCTGGAGCCCTGAATCTATACTGAGCCCTTTCTGAATCCTGGATAGGGCAGCAGGTTTAGGGTAAAGAATGTAAAAAAATTTTTAAACTTTGGCAAGTAAGTACACAAATGACTCTTGATTGTCACTTTAATAAGGAAATATCATTCTACCTCTTGGAAAGATATTCTTCTGTCTCATTTGATCTCCCTCTCAAACATTTGGAGGGCAAATGCCTATAAAGAGTGGGACTAAAACCTCTTTCCTTTAATAGTGGTTAGTTTATCATTTTTCACCTTCTCTATTTAAAAAGTATATAAAGTGTATGGCCTATCATTGACAAATAATTTCAAGATGGTGGTGGTAATGAAGGTTTGGGAACAACATGGTTAATTTTTTAAAAATTGGCCTGTATATATTTAATTGCTTTGTAATAAATTACAGATCAGATCTGATAAAACATTAGCTAATGCAAATTTTATTATTAATACTTAATACTTGTAAAGGTATTAAAATCAGTAATGAGCCAAGAAGTATGAATGATATTTTCTAAAATGCTATAATTAGCTGTTTATTCACATTTTTCTTATAAACTCTGTTTAAAAAAGAAGAGACCCAAGAATAAACAATGCTATAAAATACTACTCCAAGAACTCACAATCTTAATTGAGATTAAGAAACAGATATTCTTTATGCCTACAATGATTTTGCTAACAGTAGCACGATTGTTCTATTCCAAAGGGTAATGAAGAGCATCGAAAGACCAGACATGAGATCCAAAATTAGAATCAAATCATAAATTGAAGGATCAATTACTGTTCATGATGTTGGGGTAAAAGAAATTTTAAATGTTACTGATAACTCACTAGATTAGTGAACTCATCATTTTGGCTATTTTGAGGGAAATATGAAGGAGGAAATTGAGAAATATATTTAAAAATAAATATATAAGACTCTCTGTAGTTCCTTTTCTGGTTACAGAAAGAATCCTTCATAGATCTAACGGAATAAATTATTGATCTATCCAAGCTTCCATCATGGAGTAAGTAGAGCTAACTTGTAAGTCTGGAGGGCTCCTAGAGTTATAAATTATTGTAGAAACATTTAGCCCCTAAGTAAAGTTGCTATAACGCTGCCTTCACATTGCTTGGGAGTGGGAGCAGGCACAAAAAAAGAGCAGGTGGGCTCTCTGTGTCTACTGAACGAGGTATAATCAATAAGTTGCACTCTTTCTAATGGGGTCGTGGAATGCTTCTGCCTCATCTGTTCTAATAGACGATAGCACCCATAAAACCTATATTTGCATGAATGTCAGGAAGCAATCAACAAGCAGTTACGAAAGCATGTACTGTGTGCCCAGAACTAGGCTTGTTGCTATGGAGAAATATAAAAATTAGGAGATATATATAGGTCCTGCCTCCACCAGCATAAACTATGGCTAAAATGTGCTTTTTATTTCTTATTTAAAAATTAAAAATTATAAGTACTATGTTCATATTAACCTAAAGTCCTTTTTTAGGTCTGAATCCTTTCTAAGAAAGGCAGGTTAATTAGGGCTTTGTTATAATTGGCAGATACTGCTGATTAAAAAAACATACTCAAACACGAAACTTCAGTAATAAAGTGGTAGCCACTGAAACTCATTCTCCAAATCACATTAAAATGCTTGGGGAAAAGGTATTACATAGTGCTAAATCATACCCTTTAAGTGAGGAAAACAGCTTTAAACATACAGACTCTATTTGGTTACACGTCAAGGCTTAGATTTCCTAAACTAAGTCTTATTTAACCTAATTATAGTTTACAAATGTTTGTAGGTTCTACTGGCCTTAATTTTGAAGATTATCAAGTACTGCCAAATCATTTCTGAAAAGATAATTACAACTCTTTCTCTTAGAAATTCACAGAACTGCTAATTATTGAAGATTACGGGGCCCTATCAGTGGACTGCATGACTGCAGACCCTCCCTCTGAGGTACAGCCTTCAGCACAGACCAGCCTTCCAAGGTGTAGCTCTCAGGACAGAAGGGTGAACTCAGGGGAAACAGCTCCACCCTAATATTCTGCATCTTGCAAATGCAAAGACTTTGACAGCCCCTGTAAGAGCTTACATTTTGGTCCTTAGGAACTTCCTAACTTCTAGTTGCCATTAAGTAAAGGCAAATGACACCTTTATCAAGCAAGTGGTCACTCAGAAAGTCTTCAATATCACATACCTGCAGAAATATACATTAAAGGGTGGGAGTAAATATATCTCTTGTTTCTAAGGGCCAATGGCCCTTATTTTGAATGAGTTGGCTACTTTGCCCACACATGCTATGATTTAAACAAACACACCATGCAACATGGACTGTCATAGCATTTTTAACTCTCCATCAATATGTAATCTGTATAAAATGGGCAAAGAAGTCAGATCTTGAAGAGACATTACAAATCTATACAGCTCTAAGGTAGGAAAGTCTTGTGTTTTTTTGACATACACCTATTTAAGGAAATTGCTAACTTGATGGGTTAATATTCATTGAAACAACATCTCAGGCAATTCTACTGTTGCATCTTCAGTGTTCATCATATCAGAAATTTCATAAAATTGCTAAACTACACAAACCATATCATGTTGTTTTGGAATTTGTACAATTCAATGCACCCTAATGGGAGTGTAACGATTATGTTCATAAAAGTTATAAAGTAATTATATATTTACAGATACTTTACAAAAATAATTCACTCCTTACATCAAATCTGTGATCAATCAAAATTAATCCAATTTCATAGATAAGGAGCTAGATATGGAAATAATCTGCCTAGAAATCAATTCAGAACAAAAATATGAATTGTCTTTAAATTTCTAGCCCTTGTAAGTTCTCCTTCTCTCCCTCTGTTTCTAATTAATTTCAGCAAGCTGAAAGTTCATACAGGATTTCTTTACTACTCAGCTAGTCTTCCACTCTTAAAATTAAAAGTAGGACTAGCAAGGGACACTATTTATTTAAAGTCCATGGCAAATTAAAGGACAAACAGAAACCTAAGCAAACATCATTTCACAATGAGGCTGTTTTGGGTGCAGGCTAATTCTGAGGTTTAGAACATTCAGCTGGGAAACAAACAGGATCCATAAAAAAACAGACCCAATTGTTGAAACAGAGTTTGAAATCACTCCAACATTTGATTTGTTTTCAAAGTTCAGAATGAGGTTCTAACCAAGATATGAGAAAGTTGCTTAATCTAAACTATTATGATCTTCTAGGTATTCCAATTCAACACCCTGATCCCACTCTATTCAACATCAAAATAAACAGGCATAAAATTTCTAGCACAAACCAGTATGAATAGTTAAGTTACATCTCGATTGATGAGCCTATCCAAACTCTTAATTTAAGACTCATTATTTCTGTTATCTCTAAATGTGTGGTTTCTAAGAAAAGGGTCATAACTTCATTTCTGTGTAATAGCGTAAATCAAGGATTTGGATGGATTCTACAAACATGGATTACATGTTTTAGAGTACATGGATTCTAAAAACATCAGTTCACCTTAAAAAAGACTTATTCATTGGGAGAAAATGGATACTTATTCAATTTTTGTGAGAAAACAGGCAAAAAGAATAAAATAATCTATGTTGACAGGATATGACAGAACATCCTGTGAGCTAATGTTATCTCAATAAAAAAGCTGCATGATAAATAACAATCATTATTTTAAACATGAATAAAATATTTTTACATAAAATACATTGTCAAATTTGAAACTATGTCCAAATTTTCTTGTAAAATGGCCTCTAGGACACTAGCTGATATAACAGGAACTCTAGAATACTTAATAAACATTAATTACATAATTTTCACTAATGGCTTTTAAACCTTACTTTTTAATATTTTGATATTTTTTAGTAGTAAAAAAGATCTTCTGTTAAGCATCTGTATTCTATTTTGATCTTTAACAAGCCAAATTATCTTTTTTATATGATGTTTAAAATGTAAATAGCATTACACAATAATTATAAAATACATGAATGAATTAAAGTTTGCTAATATTTTTGATTTAATTATTAAAATTCAGCAATTTTACTGATTTTCTCCTGACAAAAGAGTAAATTATACTTTGGAATATATATAGATACTTTTTATGTCAATTATATCCATTTTATTAACTTTTCAATTAACAATAAAGTTAGTTTGGATAGTAAATCAGAAAATACTTTCTACAGTGGCTTTAAATTGTACTTTTTAACCCAAAAATGTTATCCAGAGCCATATCAGACAAATGTAACCGAAGTGTAAACACTAAGAAGTCACATGCCCTTGAGTAACTGTCCTTCCACTTAGAACACAATGAACTTCTTAAGAAGAGCTCTTGTTCACTTAATTGTATTTTAGCACAGAATCAAAGCTAAAAAAAAAGTAAAAAGTAAAGAAGTGAATAGAAACGATATGCATTATTAATAAACCATATGCTATCTGAGTGTTAGGTTCCCACAGAAATATTTTGCTGTATAATTTTCAAAATCACTTCCCAAGTGTAGCTGTTTTCATCATCCAAGGACAGATTTTCATTACCTACTTTCATTACATTTTATAATGAAATGCTCCTTCAAGTTACTTATTGGAGTTATTATCAGCAAATATTGTCCTATACCTCCAGTTCAAGATACTAGTATCAGTGTAATACTTAGTTTCAGTTATAAATGATATATATAGGACATTTATATACTGCAATAAATACACAAGAATGAATACAAGTTATTCTCATAAAATACAATTTCTAATCAATTTAGGAGACTTCCAAACAATGAGGACATTAAATACTTAAAACACCAAATAATCCCCTCTATTATAGAACACCAGTCAGGTGAAATCTGAAAGAGATTCTTTATTGGTAGCCAAATACAGTTGACCATACCTGTAACCTCCGTGTTTTCTTGCTATTTAAGAAAAAAATATAGAACCTAGACATTTAAAACATTATCAGTGTAATAATTACTACAGACTCTCACTGGATCTTTTAAAATTTCGTTAAAAATCACCGAAGTCATAATGAATACAATTATTGCAGCTACGTCATTTGAAAACTAGTATAAATTATGCTGCTTAAGACAAAAACACTGAAATACATAAACATCACAATGTAACACAGTCGTAACTCATAACTATTTCATATGAAAAATTAAATTTAAAAAGATATGTTAGAGAAATTGGGAATTTTTTACTTTAGCAAAACATTCTATTTATACTTGTGTATCTCCAACTTCTATAATATGATACAGTATACAATAAAATACTTTTAAAAGATATGACATTCAAATGCTTCATTTACACAAATAATATTGCCAATACTAATAAAGTGATGCCCTTAAACATGAACTGCTTTGCTAACTGTGATTTTAAAATGTTTACTTCATTTTACATTTTAGTTAGCAATTAGCATTACATATTAATCAGTTCTGTGCTGACAAATAGAGAGGGTCCTAGTCAAAATACTGTTTCTCAAAAGTAATGTACATCATATTGCTTGAAACTAAACAACCATATAAAAGTGGCAATAATTTATCTAAACATTGATTATGAAAGACAACTGGCATATATTCAGGCAGAGTGTTGAGTTCATGATGATTTATTTACAATAAATATGTAACGGAAGTGAACATGATAAGATTTTATGTCAATTCCTACAGTCTCTTAAAGTTATAAAAATATTATATAAAATACCACAGACTTTAGAGGCTATAACTTCATGTGGTTCTGATACTAGCAGCTGAAAAGTGTTTATAATTTAAAAATAAATAAACTATAAGAGGTAAACGAGTTACAAAACAGCAGAGGACTGCAATAGTCACAAGAGTGAAAAGAATTGCTTAATTACACAATAGCTAACAAAATGGTGAAGCAGTTGGATCAAAAGTTTTAAAAACCTCTTTCAGAGATTTATCATCTGTTTCTTTACTGGGGTCATTATCTGGTGTCGGGCTCACCTGTCCTGGCTGCTTTGATTGCCTCGGATCGCTGTACTGGGGCCTAATTAAGCCTGTTAATGCCTGAATGGGAAGACTGTGCACTGCTGGGACCTGAACCTTACCAGAACTCCTGAGAATGTCTGCCTGCGGGTCAGCTGGCCCATCAGGTGTGACCTCCACATTTGGAGTGGTTTTCTGTGGCAGGATTGCTTCTCCAGGAGAAGGCTCATTTTGGTCACTATTTTTTAAACCACTACTTTTTTTCTGGTTCTCTGCATTTTCTCCTAAAGAAACTGTTGCTAGCTCTGATGCAGATGATGAACTATGATCCCTAGGGTCGTACAAACTAATACCACCAAGAACTGAACTTGGAGTTCCCAGTGGAAGGCCAGCTGAAGACAAGAGTTTAGGGGCATATGGAGGCAGAGCCCCAGGACCAGAATTGCTTGTTCCTGCCCCTGAGGACTGTGATGAACCAGGGTTTGATCTGGCTAAATGAGGGGTACCCTTTGATGTATGTGAATCCTTCATAACCATTTGATGAGACTCTGTACTGGGCAGTCTGTGAAGCCTAGGATCAAAATTTTTTTGCAGCCTAGGATCTCCTAATTTACTTCCTGAACTATGTAAGTCTCCAAATTGTTCTAGATAGCCTTCTCTGTTTGTTGTGTTAATTTTGGCTTTAGCTGCTAATTTTGGATCAATAGACACTGTGTTTTGATGAAGAGCACTTTTTGTATTCCATAACCTATTGAGCCTCTGGTCAGCTATAAGTGGGGGCAGAGGTAAATTGATTGAAGATACTGGATCGGGTTTAGGTAAAGGTACTGGAAGTAAGTCTTCTGGAGCCCACACGATGTGTTTTGCAAAATTGGGTTTGGTTAAGATAATGTCCATTTTAATGTGACTGAACTGTCTCAATTGTGACCTTGGATCCTGGAGCATTATACCAGGTGAAGCATCCAAAGGTATTAAGAAAGCTTTTTCTCTCAGTTCTCTTTCTGTATCTTCATCATCATCATCTCCTCTTTTGTGTTTGACATTAGCACCAGCATTTGCATGATGTAAATCAAACTTTGCCCCACCGACAGATGAGCCTACATGACTACTTCCATTCCCTCTTAATTTCCTGGGATCCCACGCAAGTCTAAGATCCAGTGGAGCAGACTCAGAAGGTTTTTTAATGTCTTGCCTTGGGATAGTTCTAAGTCTAGGGTCAACCACTTGATTTCCTTTACTTTTCTCTTTAGCAAGTCTTGGATCAGTGGGAGTGCTGAGTTCTATGGAGGGTTGTTGCTGATTCCTTAAAGATTCTGTTTGTCTCTGTAATGTTTTCAGTATTGACTTGACACTGCTTCCTTCTTCTTCTTCACTACTGGAATACCAGTTAACTGTATCATCTAAGTGCAGACAAAAACTTATTATAAAGAATGAAGCATTTATATTTGGCCTTAATTACTGAGATAAAAAACACATACTATATATTTCTAAAATAGGTGTAGTCTAATTTCAAGAAAATGCAGGACAGAAATGCCAGGTTTTAATACTGGAACAAGATAAGATGTGGTAAGACAATTATCAATTCAGTCTTTATAGTCTGTAAAGGAAGAGGTACAATATTAGAATATGCGTAAGGTCCTTCCAGTCAAAGTCAGGACCTTTCATTCCAATTGGCCAAGGGGAACTCAGATGTGTGTGGTATGTATGGCAGCATTGGGGGAGAAGGGAAGGTACTCTTGGAGAGGCATTCTAACGTGGTTTTGGAATCTTCAATTCAATTATTCCTTAAGCTTCAAAACTCTGGATTTATCAAGATAACAAGAGACTAGAAAGAAAACAAAACACTACAAATGACGGTTAAGGGAGCAGTGGAAACTGAGCAAATGAGGGATGGCGTGGAGACTTTTCATTTACACTTTGTGATATTTTTAGATATTTGACCCATGTGAATATATTAACTATTCAAGTATTAAATTAAAAAATAACAAAAATAACTTCCTAAAATTTATAGACTATTAACTTTATGAGAACACTTTTGGCCTTACTCTTAAAGCTTATTTAACTCTAATGTGTTAGACACAATTTTAAGATGCCTACCTACAATAGTCTTCTCTCTAGTAGAGAAGGAATTACAAACTGAAAGTTCAGGAGGGTGATTCTCCCTCCTCTCCATTAAAATATATATAGGTTGGCTCTGAATTGACCACAAAGTATCTACTCTTCACATTCTTGTCACAACATACAATACAGATAGGCACTCTGTGTGTGTGTATGTGTGTATCCATCCTACAATATCTTAGATCAGTAGAACATCCTACGTATTCTCACTTTTACCTTATTTCACTGCTCACTAATGTGTTTCTACTGCATGAAACTTTAGTGTTACAGGTTTAGTTAGAGCAGAGCAGTACTTATAAAAACAAGCATTGGTATTTAGAGTGGATTGTAGTTTAAAACAGCATGTGTAATAGTATATCACAATTATAAAAAGTTTTACTCAGATCTCAGTGTCTGAAAAAACTACTTCTAGACACTAGATATCTTTACTTATCTTACTTCTCTTTGACATCAAGGAAAGTTTGATTAGGACTTGTGATTCACTTTTACCTGTGCAGTTATATTAAATATTTCTGCTTAATAATTTCACTCTTTATAGTATTTGTTGCTTCTATCCTTATTTTCTTTTCATTTCAATATTTTTTTTTTTTTTTTTTTTTTTTGAGACAGAGTCTCGCTTTGTTGCCTAGGCTAGAGTGAGTGCCGTGGCGTCAGCCTAGCTCACAGCAACCTCAAACTCCTGGGCTCAAGGGATCCTCCTGCCTCAGCCTCCCGAGTAGCTGGGACTACAGGCATTCGCCACCATGCCCGGCTTATTATATATATATATATTAGTTGGCCAATTAATTTCTTTCTATTTTTATGGTAGAGACGGGGTCTCGCTCAGGCTGGTTTTGAACTCCTGACCTTGAGCAATCCGCCCGCCTCGGCCTCCCAAAGTGCTAGGATTACAGGCGTGAGCCACCGCGCCCGGCCTTCATTTCAATATATTTTATAAGCAATCTTACATCCTTCTTAAAATAAGAGTGAATATAGTAACAGAAGAAGAACAGAAGAGTAGAAATAGACCAATGGAAAACAGATATTAGAAAATGATACTTCAAAGCTTTTTATCAAAGGAGAGATGAAATTCATATAAAAGCATTAAAATTTATAAAAATGAACACAAACAAAAAATCTTAGCTGTTAAAGATTATTTCTTTAAATGGTTCCTGACCCAAAAAAGAGAAAGATTATTTCTGTAAATAGAGCAAACCCTCAGAGAATATTACCAATGTATATTATAGTATAAAATTTTATATTATCTAGAAGTTTTAATTTTCTTATTTATGAAAACATAAAACTTTGTATGACTTTACAGAGAGATTACCCTTAAAGTGGTTGTTTTTTAAAATTAAGTTTTAGCACTTAAAAGCTTACATTTAAATTATATAGAAAATTCACTTAGCAGAGAGATCCCTCATTTTCCTGTGATACTAGATAAAGTTAATATGTTACCTTCTTTGAAAATATAATAAAAAATGTTCATATAATAGCTTGTGGCTACCTAGTGTTACCTAGATTTACAAAGTCCTCATAAATTTCATATTTAAGAGTGGCCAAACATCAATTTCACAATTCATAAAAAGAACTGGATGCTTTAAACTTCTCATGCTTGACTGAATTAATTGCTGTATACTTATCAATATCAAAAGTTCTAAGGTAAATTTACCATATAATCTTTTCATATTAAAAATAGTATTTAATAATATGGTAGAACCTTGAATATAGCATTATGCCCCCAAAATTCTCTAATAACCGAATCATTTTGAAGTTGGGCTAGAATTCAAAATCTTCAAACTGGAAGGTATCCTTTTCATATTCTATTAATATTACTTTTCTTCTAAAAAAAAAAAAGGTTTAACTGCTTGCAAGTCTGATCACCTAAGCTTTGAACTCTAGGTTCAAATCTATTCACTATTTGAAGTCTAACCTTTTGCAATTGCAATGAACTATTAATGCATTAATGGCACTGAAACCACAGTCAATCTCAAGAAGATAGGGGATACAAGGTAAACTGGAAATAAAATAGATAGGTCAGAGGAATACATTTTCTAATTTTAACCTATCCAAATAGGTAAGATGCTATTAATAACACCTGACACACCTTCTTCCTTGCTTGGTGCCCTATGAGGTTGGATGCTGGTTGGTTCCTCATCTTCTTGGTATCTCTGAGTAAGTCTGACAAAAAGAGCTCTCTGCACTGCAGGGAGGAGCCCTGGTGCAGGTAGAGGGCCATGGCCTGTCCTGTTGCTGCTGCTGTCAGACCCACTCCCACAGTTAGGTGAGTCTTGAAGAACAGGAGGCTGCTGCTGGGCAAATTCACCATGCCACATCCCATCTACGTGCATAACATGGGAGAGACAGACACTGAGTTAGCACCAAACTCCACCACAGTCATAAGAAATGGAAGTTCTCATACTAATTAGATTCAATTTTCAAATTATTATGTACTTTAAAAATATTTTTAAAGTTATCTTAAATTCCATTGTTTCAGAAGTTTGGCTAAACTGAAAACATTTTAGGGTTCCAATTTCATCAATTGTAACTTTTAGCTTTATTCAAAATATACATTCCTATCATGCTTTTAATGAAAAATAGGACTTTAAATATTTTAAACTAGGAATAAGTCATTTCAAAAGGTAAACTTACCACCTGAGGTACTGGGTGACTGAAAATTATGTACAGCATGCTGTGAATAGTAATTATCATAAAACTCAGCTGGGTTTTGTAGGGACTCATAATTGGTGTTGAGCTGCATTTCACCAGGACTTTGCTGGTATGATGAACCTGGAGAACAGTGATTCTCTCTGGGTACCTTCATCACGTGTCCTGGAAAGCCTGGAGACTGGTAAGCCCCACCCATATTTGGTAGTGTCAAAGGTGTATCAGGTTGAACAAGTACTCCAGCTTGATTGTGAGGGCCTACAATTTCTGGTGGACCAGGTGGTAAAGGTGGGCTCTGCGGCATTGGTAGACCAGGAGGTCCTGAACATGGGTGATGTCCAGGGGAGCCTGGGTGCATCACAGGACTACTGCGTCCCTGAGACATATTAGGTCCAGGACCTGGACTTGACCCAGAACTATAAATATGTTGAGGGCGTGGGCTGCTTCCCTGAAATTGTGGTCCTGGAGGTGAGGCACTGTTATAAAATGCTGGTGGCCTGTAGACAGAAATAGTATTCCTTATTAGTTCAAAGAAAAGAGACAAAAAAGAATGTTAACATTTCTAAATAGATATTGGTTAAGTATGTTTTTCTATATCAGAATAGAATAACTGTGTTTAAGAAGCAGTTTATTCCCTATCATCTTTAGCTAGAATCACCACATATGCCTCCTGCTTTCATTTTAGCCCACTGGCTGCTTATTACCAGTTGCTCTAAAACTCACTCATTATAGATATTTTGAAAAATACAAAAAAGCACTAAGATCACCTCTAATCCCACCACCCCAAAATAAATTTTTTGATTGGGTCTTTCCTAGTCCTTTTTCTGAGTATACATAGACTTTTTTACAGAAAAATTAAAATCATACCATATAAACATACAGTGGTGTATTACAAGTTGTAATGGTTATTGTTGGCATATAAAAAGACTTTCAGTTTTTGAATGTTGCTCTTCTTTCTGGACAGCCTACTAATTTAATTATTATTTCTAACAGTTTTGTCAGTTGATTCCTTTGGGTTTATTGAGGGAGACTGTCCAAATAATGAGCCTGCTGCTCTACTTCTAATCTTTATACCTTTTGTACCTTTCTCTTATTTCATTGACTAGGTAGGATCTGATATACAATATCTGCAAAATAGTGGAATAACTTTTTTTCTTCTTGACTTTAACAAAAATACTTTTAATGGTTCACGTTAATTGTGATATTTACTTTAGATTTATTGTTCCCCATTTGCTGAGACCTCCTTGCTTCCCTCAGAAGTCAGGGTTAAAAGAATAAACAATGAGAACTTACTTCTTCCCAATTTTATGTGCTAAATCCACAGTAGGTTTTACAACTATTTCAAAAAGAGATGGAATTTTCTTAAAATCATCAGAGAGATCTGTCTGAAAATCATCTTCAGGATCAGAAAAGGGAAAATGCTCTGGGGGGGTTGGCAGAAGCCCAACCCCTGGAGGCGGCTTGGGAAGAGGAGTTATGCCACGCTTTCTAAGTTCTTCTAATTCTCGCTCATCTTCATTTATAAGTTCTTCATCAGTATTTAACACCTAAAAATATTGGCAAAGATTACTATTTCAAAACAAGTTCTCTTCTTCACATTACAACTGTGGAGACTTCAGTAAACTAGTTTTGACAGTACGAAAATAATATTAAAGTTGAAATGGATCAGAGATAGCTAATTCCTCATTTTTGATAAACAGAATGATGTTCAAAGAGGTAAGGAATATTGGTCAAAGTAAATTAGTTTGTTTAATGGCAGAACAAGGATAAAAACAAAAGAGTCATAATTCTTAGTCCAATATTTCTGCTTTAATACATTATATTAATATTATGTGATATTAATGTATTAATAGAATAAAATATAAAATAATAAATCCTCAATTTCTTAGCACTTTTATAAAATACAATTTGTAAGACATGATTGAAGTCAAAACAATCTTCAGAGAGACCTAACAAATAATCAAGGTACAGAAATATTACTCACTTTGTCCAAAAGTTTCCTTGTTTCTTTAGTCAGATCATCATGGGAAAATTTACAGTTGTCTCCTTGGTAACATTTTGCTCCGCTATGGTAGAACTTGCATGGAAATTCATGTAAATAAAAACATTAAGGAACAGACCAAGTAAAATCAAGGTCTAATTTCTTAAGCAAATAATAATAATAATAACTGTTATAGAAGATGATTAAGTTCTAGAGATCTGTTGTACAACGTTGTGCCTACAGTCAACATGACTGTATTTTATACTTAAAATTTTAAGAGGGTAGAACATGTTGTGGTCTTACCATTTAATTAAAAAAACCTGCTGAATCAATAAGGCTGTATTATATATTGTACTGAATTTCCAATAATCATATAATCTATTTTTTATGTTATTAAGATTAAATATTTTAATTATACAGAAATACTTAAGCAGTTTTTAAAATCTTTTACTTATTAAAACTAGAAAACCACTTTTTAAAGGAAAAAAACCATTTATAATGGTTACACTAAACACTACAGTATTTTAATTACAGAAGTTCCATTACTTTCTACAATAAAATAATATATACAGACAAATTTTGCAGCATGAACTTATATCTGTGAAGAAAATAAAGGGGCTTGATATGTCATGTTTATTAAAGGCAAATATCTATTCCAACGGTGAAAACTAAAACTAATCTTAGTCTTAGATTTTAAAGATTAACTTCTAAAGAAAATATTAAATCTAGAAGCATAGTGAGAAATACATCATTTTTGGGTGGTATGTGTTCAGGGAACAGCTGGGTGGTTTTAGGAAATTTATTACTGTAATCATATTGATAAGGGCAAGAAAGAAAAATCATATCATCTTGGCAGATGCAAAAGGCAACTGATAAAATTCAAAATACTTTTTTGATTAAAAAAAACCTATTGGTAAAATAAGAATATACTTTCTTAACTTGACTTTAAAACAACTATCTTAAAACAATAGCCACAAGTGAAAACAAAAAGGCATCATTATTAAAATATGTATTATGTCTGCCACAATCACTATTATTTAAGATTATCCTAGAAGCATAACCAATACAATTAAGATAAAATTAGAGGTATAAATATTATATTAAGTAAAATTATCATTATTTACAGATGGCAAGACTATGTGGAAAAAACCATAAGAATAAATTGAAAGCTTTTAGAAACAGAGTTCAGTAAGATGTTTGGTTTCTAAAGAAATATGCCAAATTTGAAAAAAAAATATTTTTCTTGAATAGGACAAATTTATTACAACATTTTGATAAAGAAGGGAAGAGTATTTTCCCTACCAAATATCAAACATATTCTTATAGAAAGGAATAGTCACAATAGATAAGAGTACTATAGAAGCAGAATTGTGTACAAAGGAAACTTTAGGATCTGGTAAAGATGCCATTTTTTTTTGTTGTTGTTGTTTTTTGAGACAGAGTCTCACTTTGTTGCCCAGGCTAGAGTGAGTGCCATGGCGTCAGCCTAGCTCACAGCAACCTCAAACTCCTGGCTCAAGCAATCCTCCTGCCTCAGCCTCCCAAGTAGCTGGGACTACAGGCATGCGCCACCATGCCCGGCTAATTTTTTGTATATATATTAGTTGGCCAATTAATTTCATTCTATTTATAGTAGAGACGGGGTCTTGCTCTTGCTCAGGCTGGTTTTGAACTCCTGACCTCGAGCAATCCGCCCGCCTCGGCCTCCCAGAGAGCTAGGATTACAGGCGTGAGCCACCGCGCCCGGCCTAAGATGCCATTTTAAATCAGAAAATGAGACCATGAGTTAACCATTTGTAAAAGAAAAATAAAGTCCTTACTGTACATCATATATTAAAATACAGTCCATATGAATTAAAGATGTAAATGTGAAATAAAAAATATAATCTTCACAGTTATTATATTAATAGATAGATCTCATTTTTGTAAAAAATTATCTGTATAAACATATATATGTATATATATCCATTCATACACACATAGCTTAGCAAAGAAAAAAGTCCGAGAGGTTTTATGCATGTTGTAAACATGGTTATCCCTGTAGAATGACATTACTTAGAATTTTTTTTAAAGTTTGAAGATTATCAAACATACAAAAGTAGAGAGAATAAATTCCCTCTCATGATGACTACATAGGTTCAACAATTTTTATCATTTGGTAATTTTGTGAGATCTATAATGTATCACTCCTATAATTTCTTCATGACTCTCACTCTAAACACTGGAGTATTTTAAAACATATTTCAGATACATTTCATCTGCCTACTTCAAACATGTAAGAAATACTTTTTCTTACCAATCATTATCTCATTATCAATCTGACAAAATAATGCATTAATTTCAACTAGTACCCAGTCACTATACAAATTTTCCAGACTATTAAAAGTTGTTTTTTTTTACGATTCCTTTATTCAGATCAGGATCCAAAGATGATGCACAAATTGCATCTAGTTAATGTATCTCTCAAGTTTCTTTTATTGGTCTCTATTTTTATATCATATTTGTTAATTTTAACATTGGTTATAGATGGTATTTAAATACTTCCTACTGTTTTTTATCAGGAGGTATTTAATATCTGATTGTTTCTTTTTGGTGATAAGATTTATCAATTTAGGTGTTGTCAGCTCAATCCATCAATTATAGAGTTCCTCATCAACTTTTCAACTAATGATTTTTGCAGCCATCAGTAATCACTACCCAGCTGGATCATAATTTGCAAAAGGTGAAATTGCTAGGTCAAAGGATAAATGCATATGTAATTTTGCCAGACACTACCAAGCTTCCCTCTATAAGGGTGCACTGTTTTTGACATTCCTACCAAGGTATGACTGTATCTATTTTCTCACAGCCTTACTAACAAACTTTGCTGTCACATTTTTTGGGTTTTTGCAAATCTGATAGCTGCAAATGTTATCTCGGTGTACTTTAAATTACATTCCTTTTATCTGAACAAGATTGAGCATCTTTTTGAGACCATTTGCATTTCTCTTTCTGTGAATTACCTGTATCTCTTACCCCATTTTTCTTCTCAATTTATAAAAACTCACATATTAAGGGTATTATCTCTTCATAAGTAATATAAATTACATACAATTTTCCCCATTTTATTATTTATTTATTTAATGTTATATGTTTTTGTTATAGAAATTTAAGCTTTTCTATGTAGTCTAATTTTCAATTTTTTCCTTATTGCTTCTGGACTTTGAATCATAGGAAAGTTTTCTGTTCTCTTGGATTATAAAGGAATTCATTCATGTATTCCTCTGGTTATTGTATGGTTCAATTTTTTTATATTTAGATCTATGATAGAAATTTTTCATTTTCTACTTTACTTTCTTTTTTGTTTTTACACTATTTTTTAAAACTTGACAACACTATTTAAAATTTATCTGAAAAAATAAACATGAGAATATACCAAATATCACAGTGTGCCATTGTGACAGAAATAATCACAGCAAAGCAACTCATACATGAGGGCAAACAAATCCAAAGAGCCAAACAGAAAGTCTAGAAAAAAAACATGTGTAAACATTTTGTCTATGATAGAGTTTCAAATCCATGGGAAAAGCTCCACTAGTTGTAAGTGGTAGTGAGCAATCAGCTAGCTCTCTGGGGGAAAATTAACACAAAAAATTGCATAATACATTATTTTTTTTTTAAAAAGGGACCAGAATACTATATATAGTGAAATCTCTATTTGAGTAGGGGCAGGAGTACAACTTAAAAGAATGTATTTCCAAGGGGAAAAGTAGAAAAGAACATACAATGTCTACCATTGTATGGTAAGATTTGACAAGACTTTGATTTTATAATTTTCAACAATGATAATTTACTACTTATGAACCTAAGTAAAATGACTGTCATAAAATAAATATTCTTCTAACTACTTCAGCAAGCATAGTCTCTTGAAATACTTTAAGCTGATTATATAATATTAAACATAAAATACTTTTACTTCACAGAATTTTTTTCTAAAGGGAAATTATTTCATTTTCCTAAAGAATAAAAGTCAGTTTGCCCTTTTGAAGTACAAAGTCTGACTACACTGGGTTTATGTAATATGTTGTTTTAAATTTAAAACAAAACTAGGCATTCTAGGTTATATTTATGAATTTTAAAAATCTCAATGCTTTCAAACCTCAATATTTTGTTTAACATACATTTTAAATAAAGGATATTATGCATATAAATGCAGTTCTCTCCTTTGGTACAATATCCTTGTAAATAAAATTTGCAGATCTCTTTTCTCTTCTCCAACTCTGCATCATGATCAAATTTACACTGATCTCCCTGTTCACAAAAAAAAGAAAATAAATAAATTAAAAGGAAAAACAAAAGGTAAGAAAAAAAGAAGAAAATGAAACAAAGAAAAAATTAAATTGAATTTTCTCCATGGTGTTTCATGATGGAATTTATGGTCATTATCATCAGTCCTTAAATAATGAGCTAATAGTAACTCAAACACTCCCTTAGAATTCCTGCCCAAGACAGTGCATTTGGCTATGTGCAACAAGGCTGCACAGTGAGCAAGGCCTCAGAAGACATTGCCTGAGTTCCACCAGCATTCACTATTTCTGAACTACTAAGTGAACTTATTTAACCTCTAGTGCCCTATATAAAATTAGGATAATAATATTAAATAGTAACTACTTTGTAGGGTCTCTGCTAGGTTTAAATCATTTAATAGTAGTTGTACTTTGAACAGTACTTGCCATGCAGCATTATGTGATTGTTAAGTAAAATATGACTTTAACAAATTATGTTACTGTCCTAGAATATAATTAAATGACCTTATGTACAATATTCCCATGCAAAATACATTTTAAAGAACCAGTTTTATTACAACTATATGAGAAATTTAAAAAATTAGCCACCCCCCAAAAAGACTTTAACTTTTATGTATCATTTGGGAACTTAAAATAGTTTATGATACCCCTATAAATTTACCTTAATACATCTCCCTTCCAAGAAGTATTTACAGATTTGTTTTCCTTTGTGTTCCACTGTATGCTGATTAATAAATTCCTGAGTCATAACCTTCCATTTCTTCCCTGGTTTACTGTACTGTGAGAAAAAAAATTTCATTTGAATCAACATATGAAATATTAATAAGTATTAAATGTATAGCTAAATGGATCCAGAAAGCAGTACAAACTGACTATTGAAAGTGATCAAAATTGAAATTTTGATGCTATTCATTTATTTGGAGAGAGATATGTTTCTAATAATCTGCTTATTGCTACTAGTGGTTGCAAAGAAGCCTATTTCTATTTTAATGAGGATGTACAACTTCATTTTTAAAACAAAATTATGAAAAGCTTGAATTCACAATACTACTCAGTTTTAGCAAAGGAACAATAAAATATGCAGTCTCATATCTCATTGATAGCTATGTGATAAAAGACTTTAAAATATCCATACTGTTTGACACAAAATTTGTACTTTTCAACATTATTCTGAAAGAATTATCAGGGAAGCACACAAAGATTTATTCACAAAACAACTGCTGCAGAATTACTGACATAGTAAAATAAACAAACAAACAAAACTAGAAACACTCTACATATCCAAAACTATTTAATAGCAGACTTGTCAAATACATTATGATACATTTAGGTGGTAGAATTTTATAAAGTCATTAAACAATCATGTGATAGACAATTTTGGGACACAAAAATGTTTACAACTTTATGAAGTAAAATATTGATCCCGATTCTATATAATAATAAATAAAGGCAAATAAAAAAGAATATGCCCCTACATTTTACAGTGTATTTCTCTTAATAAATTAGAGATTTTTTGTGTGTGGTTATTTTGTGTTTTCTGTAGGAAAAAAAAAAGCACACAAACAGGGAGCATAAATTACCTTTAACTTTTAAATTAAAAAAATTAATAAAAAGAAATATATTAAGAAAAAGAAATCTCAGGCCAGGGGAGGTGGCTCACGCCTGTAATCCAAGCACTTTGGGAGGCCAAGGAGGGAGGATCACTTGAGGCCAGGAGTTGGAGACCAGCTTGAGTAACACAGAGAGATCCTGTCTCTATAAAAAATAGAAAAATTAGCCAGGCATAGTGGTACATGCCTGTAGTCCCAGCTACCCAGGAGACTGAGGCAAGAGGATCAGTTTGAGCCAAGGAGTTTTGAGTTTGCAGTGAGCTACGATGACACTACTGCACTCTAGCCAGAGGAATAGAGCAAGACTCTGTCACAAAAGAAAAGGAAAGAAAGAAGAAAGGAAAGGAAGGAAAGGAAGAAAGGCAGGCAGGAAAGGAAGGAAAAAAAAAGAAATCTCAGTCCTATCTGTATTCTTTAGTTCTGTTCAACTTTTGCTGCAAATACAAGACGACTGAGTAACAAGACAGAGTATGATGCTTACCCATGCTGAATGTAGTAAGTTACATTCATGAACTCTATAAAACAACATTGTTTTTCAAGTACTTGGCATGCACTATGCCTTACACATCATAGGAGCTCAATAATGATTTGCTCTTCTGATTTCATTTCAGTTTTTCCTTTTCCCTTAATTTGCTAGAAGATGGAGCACAAAACTCCATCTACAGAAAACAGGAAATTGCCTTACAGCAAACACTTGAGGCAATAGATGCCTAAACTGAAATCTGATTCTCAGCACTCACAGCTGAAATTATATTTTACTATAAGCATGTTGAAAAGGTACAAGAATGTCAAGCAAACAGATAATCCTAGAGGTTCTTTTTTAAAATGTAAGTATATACAACTTGCCCCAGGAAAACACAATAAAATTGCTTCTAATATACTCTGATAGAATCATTTAAAATGTGTTCTTGCATGCCCTACCTTCTAAAAAAAAAAGAATCATTTAAAATGTCTTAAATCTACATAAATTTGATTCACATTTTTATATTATATAAATTACTTTAGAACAAATGGATATAAATGCTCAGTTCATGTATGCCTCTGTACAAAAAATCATGGCTGTAATAAAATAAGCAGCCAAAGAAAGTGCATTTTGCAAATTCAATGAGCCAATTTTAAGAACAGAACTCTAAAATTAAAAAGAATTAGGTAATCACACACACATACAAACCATGAAAAATGCAACAAGTTGCATCTATGTTTCATTAGTACTCTTTCTGTCTGCATTATTTTTTAATAATGTTTCATTGTTTTAATAAAAGATTGGGGGAGTTGTTTTTAGTGTAGTTCAGTTTAAATGAGCAGAAAGTGTCTCAATATCCATAACTATAGGAAATGTGACTATAATCAAGATATTCCAGAAAATCTAAAACAACTTTAACAAATAAATTTTTAGAACAATATTAAGTGCCCAGAAGATATGGTCTTTTAAGTTTGGGCCTAAAAAGGAACCACAAATGTTCTCTACCTATAGGATCTCTTGTAATGCTGGAAGAACCACAGAATTAATCTAGTTCATCACCCTCATTGGACAAATATGAAAACTGATGATTAGAGAAGTTAGTGGCTTGCAAGGTTACATAGTGAGTTAGCAGATTAAGGATGGAACTCAGGTATTGTGTCTTCCAGCTCCATATTCTTTGCATTATATCATACTACTGCTAATAAAACACAATACAAGAAGAAAGAGGGAGAGAAGGAAAGACAGAAGGAAGAAAATCTAAGCTACCTACTACACTTGGTCATTTAAAAATTTACTTACTTTAGAAGATATATTGATATAAGGGACAAGAGCCAAATATATATATACACACACACATACCCCTATATATATATTTTCATATATATATATATGAAAATAAAAGGATCTATGAGGAAAAGAATATGTAGTCACAGAAAATTTAATAGATATTATGAACACTAAGGAAATTTAGGAGTATTATGGCTAATAGAATGAAGCAGTCTTTACAATCCAGCAAAAGTTTGCTTCTCTGCAACTACCCTTGAATTTTCAAAAATTAGTGTTAACCTGAAGGTATTCCTGAATTTATCTGGCCTTTGGGGAAACTCATAGTCCTGAAAGGCCCAGGATTGAGATGGAGCTATTTTGGCCACTTCGGTGTGGCCTGTATGTTCAGTCTACTCTGGATGGGCCTGTCCTAGACCACTCCTGAACATGAGCTACTTCCTTGGGCTCTAACAAACTCCTGGTTATTTCTGGAATCATAAGAAATGTTTCTCAGGACAACCAAGAAACTGACATATTTGATAATGAATTTTATCTTAATTTTTCTATTATATAAAGAATTGTTTAATTATAACCCAGATCTATAGACACCTAAAATGTTAGTGCTTGAAGGGGCCCGCAGAGTTAATTTAATATTATACTCTCACTTTACAGATTAAGCAAATGGAAGCTCAAAGATTGGTAGTAAATTGTTCTAAGTCACACTTTTTTGGAATTTAATTCTTTTTTAGGTATAGGGTGGAAGGACAGGAGGAGGCTTACATTCATATTTGAGATAGGAAAGCAACACATTCTAGAGGTCTACTGGTCTAGAGGTCTAGAAGATGGACAGGCAGGTTTCAGTCACTCAAAAATTCTCAAATAATAACTATAATAATTCCAAAGCTGCTATTCCATAGTAGAGTGAGTAGCTCAGTGAATGTTAATTGGTGTGTGTGGAGGAAGGAAAAAGAGTTCATGGTCAAGCAAATTTTTAAAATGATGAGTGGAACAAAGTATAATAAAATAGGCTTCTTTATGCTTAACTTGCTCAGCACCTTTAATACATTAATGTCAACTAAGAATCTCCAAACATAGAGTGACATGTGCTGGCTGGGTTTTACAATGAGCCTGAACTTCTTTTTTTGGGTCTTATCTGTTAACATCTTCTTAAGCAGCACACTAAGGAGTGCATATTAAGAAATCTTTGCCTGTTATCTTTAAACTGAGAGGTCAAAAAACCAAGCCTATTCAAATTATAGAGGCTCTCACTCAAGGTTGCAGTTTAATAATCCACACTTGCCTCTGTAAATAATTCAATCAACTCTTACTAGAACAGTGGTAAAATACAGGAATTGGACCACTCTAATCTAGAGAGTCACTACAAGGTTGAAATATATGCATTCAGAGTTCAACTCAACATATATTTATTAAATATTTATTTAATATCTACTACTATATGCAAGGTATTAATATGTAAATTTATCTTTCCAACCATTTATATTCCCTTTTCTTCTCTTTCAATGCTTTCAGTTCTAATAGTAAGTTAATTTACCACTGCCTCCCTTCTTGGTCCTGCTGCATCTTGAGCTATTAGCATTTTATTGCCATTTGCATCTGAGGAAAGTGAATCCAGATGCAAATCAAAAATAAAGAAAAGCACAACAGAAGACTAACAGAGGATATGTCTGTCGCTTTTAAACATACCAATATTATTTTGAGGTTCTTTCAAACATATCATTTTTATTTCAAAATCACCTAAATTTGTATTTTTCTACTAGTATCATGACTAATTAAAATAACAATTCTTTTTTTGAGTTTATTTATACTCATTTGATTTGAACTGTACGTTTTTCATTTACTAGGAAAGTAGTGTTAAAATCACAATGCTTTCTTTGCAACCCAATAGATTAAAAGATGGAAAAGCTCCTCTACTCCTTATATATAAATAAATTCTCAGTACCTCTTGAAAATCATCAAATACATTAGGGCCTTTATTGGCTCTTCCTCCACGGTCTTTTCTTTTAATTTTCTTCGGCAAACCACGTCCACGACTCACATTAAAACTTTTAACCCTTTGTTCAATACCTAAAAAAAGTTAAAATGTACTTCAAATACTATAGAAAAACAGCATACCTATCAATCTATTAGTTTACAAGGAGCAGCATATTTTTAATAGTTTATAATGTACAATGCATTCTTTTTTTCCTCTTTAGTTTCAATGAAAAAAATTAATTGAATCTTTACATTTTACTTCCTGAGTACCACTTCTTGTTCCTTTGTTTCTTAAGGGATGTTAACAACACAGGAAGACAAGGAACAGGATATACCTGACTAGAGAAGCTAAATCTAATTTTATTCATTTTAATTTTCCTTGGATAAGATCATTAACAAGCCTTTCTGCGTTCAAGAGAATTAAATATTATATTCCTATTTAAGGAAGACATTATAGGTATTAGTTAATTTATAGCTAACCAAATTTCTCTTGATAATTTTGAGTAGCTGTGTACACATTTTTCCAAGTAAAAATTATACTTGTAGTTTGCTTTTGAGTAACAAGGTATTTAAAAGTATCTAAAAAGATACTTAAATACAAAAGTTGTATGTTAGGGTAATAAGTTAACAATACAAAGTAATTTCTCATTTTACCAATGTCATACTGAACCAGTAAGCTTCTAGTTACCTTAAAATCTACAAAATGGCCAATAAATTTATGGAAAAATGTCTCATCATTGAAAGAAATCAAAGAAATTAGAATTTTAAAGATAACATGTCCATTTTCACCTCAAAGAATAATAAATTTCATTGTTGATTGGTATTAGAGAAATTGGCATTTTCACACACTTGCAGGGGAATTATAAATTGGTGCATCACCTTTTTGGATATCAACCGTATATGGGTCAAAAATATTCAAATGTGTGGCTATGTCTTTTGACTTGGCAATTCTACTTTTCAGAATTTATCCTTAAGAAAAAATGTTTACCAAGATGTTTTCTGAGATATGTATAAATATATTTATTGCAGGGTCACAGAACTGGGAAAAAAAATAGATGCAGCCTAAATCTCAAATCATTATTACCAAACAAACCTAACAATTTGTGAAGACAAATTATGGTACATTTATTTAACTGACCAGAATGTACATATTAAAAGCTATTCATTAATATAAGAGAGACTGAGATACAATTTATAGTTAAGGGGGGGTAGAAGCCAAGTTACAACAGTATGTATAGTTTTTGTGGAAAATAACTGTCATAAAAAGTCTGGAGGAATGTACCAAAAATATCAACAATTATTATTTCTGGGTGGTAGGAATTCAATTTATTTTTGTTTTATCTTTGATCATTGCTGGGTTATCTTTTCTACACACAGGAAAAGTTTTCCGCATTTGACCATATATTATTTTCATAACTCAGAGGGAAAAAAATGTCAAAAATAAAATGCAATACTCAAATTCTTTAAAAATAAGTAAGAGCTGGAAAAGGAAAACCCCAGGTGGAAATGGATGGGCAAGTCTTCTCTGCATGACCCCTATTCTCCAAGTGGGATGATCCCTGATACCACTATGTATAGACTCCAGGAACAAACTTGCTGAGTACAATAGCATACATGTAGAAAAATTCTTTTTCTTTTATTTCAGCTGAACTTGCATTCATATTTTTCAAAGGAATTTTTGCAATGAAATCAAGAAAAACTAAAGTCACAGAAATAACCAAATTTACTCATAACCATTCCTCTGTTCAAAGATGATTAAAGAGTAGTTACAAAGGGTGTGGCTGCTCACTGCTTCGCCTCAGACTTGTCTTGCACCAGTTTTCTTGAACCACACATATCCACTAGCCAATAATTAAGGCTGATTTGAGCCTTACGTGACCCTTAGTTTCTTCACCTATTGTCAACAGCTAGAAACTTGCCCTAGTCTCTCCAGGGACCATGTATTAATACTTCAATACAGCACATATATAGGTGCTCACTCCAGAAATCTCTTTAAATTACATTCTTATTTCCAATCTTAAAGGATGTCCACTGTCTTATGTACATTTCCATAACAAAGATGACACCATATTTAAAGCCTAATAAAAGAATAGCTTCCCAGAGTTCTGTCCTTATTGGTCTAAAATATGAAGTAACACATACAATAACAGAGACAACTGTATATTGACATCATATAGAAGGGGGGGAAAAACATAATAAAGTTGTATTACATTTTTATATACTTTAAAAATATGAGAATGCCATTTTAATTGAAATATTAAGATATATCAATTAAAATGTTCATAGCTTTTTGTTCTTATGGTTTAAAACATAAAGGAAAATAAATTTAGGTACTGCAAGAATAAGCTGGTCTTGAGAAGGGGATAAGAAATGTCTATGTTTACTCCACAGCTACCTGTTTTAATAAGGTTCTCATATTTTAAACAGATTGTTCAAACTTACCTTGCTGAACTCCTTTCATTCTCTGTTTTTTCCCTGGTTCTTTAGAATATGATGACCCTAAAGTAGTATTTGAGGTTTCTTTAGTTTGTCTGTATTGTTTTAGCTGACTGGCAAAATCTTCCTCTGTTTCCTGATCGTAGTTACCAAAGTTGTCATCACTGTAGTTACCGAAGTTGTCATCACTGTAGGTACTGTATTCATCATATTCTTTACTTTTAAATTTTTTGTTATGTTGACCCTTCTTTGATGTCATGTAGCTTCCTGATATATGTCCATGCTAAGTGAAAATGGACAATCATTATCAGGATTTTTCAATTATATATAGCAATTGATAGTAACACAGGACATCTATATGTCCCCAGAAAGTTGGGAGAAAGGTAAAAAGATAGTTATTAGTTCTGACTCCTTGATTAATACTTATCTAACACTATTTAACACTAAGTTCAAAAGGCTAAATGCTACTCTGATGTTATTAAACATTATAATCTTTATGCTTTAGCTTTTGTTCTCCATATTCTATGTCTTGATTCCCATGCACACAGAAATACTTAAAAATCCACATGATCATATATAAAGTCCTTCTACAAAAAAAATGAAAAGGCCTTTTTGAAAATAAGGAAAAGATAGTAAAATAGGTTAGGGGTGGTGGTGTGGAAAAACATTATTTCTCCTAACACTGAAACATTCTCAAATGGCATTATATTTAGTTTTTAAAAAGTGTGGAAAATTTTATAAAGAGAAAATATCTAAGGTCTAATAGAAAAAATCGAAAAGCATCTAGTGAATAAATTGCTCATTAGAAATTGTTCATTACAACATTGTTAATTTTATTGCTTCCTTACTAAAGCATGTAAAAGCAAGACTACAATTCAGTCTTAGAAGTTTATTTAATGATAATATTCAAGTCTGTCTCTATTCACTAAAATATTTTTATTAGATCTGTCATTCCTAACAATTTTTTATAATAAAGCAAGAAAAAAATTGCACATAACTATAACTTAAGGATTTAGGAAAACCTACACTATGATTCATATTTACCTTAGTGCATATAAAAGTACTGCCCTGGCAAAATATCAACATGAGACTACATATTTTTAATTAAATGCACAAACATATTAGATCTTTATTATTATAAAATAGATACAAATGCATAACTAATCAAGAAAAATAATTCATTCACCAATTTTAAAAACACTATTAGATTTCTGATGTTTTTAAGCAGTACTTTTTAAAGTTTATAAACTCCATTCCTAGTCTAACAGCACTTCGAAAATTCGGAAGGGGACTTAATATTGTAGCCAAAAGGCACTGTTTCTAACATTTTAAAAAAGATACTATGAAAACTCAAGCAAAACAAAAATAAATGGTTAGATTAAGTTGAAGACTAATTAGTTAAATGATGCTTACATTTCCTTTTATTAAAAGTGTGATTATGTTAATACTTCAATGATTACTATTAATGGATGAGTATGAATTTTTCTCTGGAGATTAGATACTTCTCACTGAAGTTTTTAATTCTTAATATTAATTCAATTCTCTAATTTCCACAACTTTATAAAAATAATCTCCATGTTTTTTAAGTAGAATTATCCTTATACTTTTATCTCCTCCCTAGTTTTCCCAATGCAAATATTTCTAATAACTCCCTTAGGATGTAAATATTCCATCCCAGGGCTCCTTCTGTAGTAAAAGATTTCTAATGTGGACTACTGAAGTCTTTAACATTCAGATCAGAGTGCCACTCATATGGTGTGAGCTCTCCAAGGAAGCACTAAATGGATGAAGGGTACAGAGCGGTCCCACTTTTCTTGAAGAATACCTCCTTATGGTTTGCAAGCTCACCACTGGAGTGAACAAAATGCACTCACCAGCAAGGGTCTAGCAAGTATTTTTTCAAGCCCTACTGAGAGAAGATAAAAGAAATAAAAAAGATTATAACAACCAAAAGACAGTTTTTCTGATTGCTTTGCAGATTATTAGATTATATAAACTGCTCTAATGTCTGTGGGAGAAGATTTGGTTTCTATAAAATAAAAAGGAGCCTCATGGCAATCACTGAAAACATGAAATAAAGAAATAGGAGGCCCTAAAAAAGCATGAGGAAAAGGGGAGCTACATTAAGTCCTCTAACTTAACTGCAAGATGTTAAGAGTATATTCTAATTTTGGCCTACAATTTTAGAAGTTACATAGCAGATACCTATTATCTAAGAAAATGGGATTTTAAGGATATAGTTAGAATATTTTCTAATTCTCATTGAGTTAATTCTAAAATATATGCGGTGGAAATGATATTGAACTTTCTCTTTTTGTAATGGCAGACTAGGTAATTCAGACCAGTTGTGCTCCTAAGAAAAGTAGAAAAGATAGAATATTTTTCTTAAATCTGCTATAGACATCAGAGAGCTAACAAATTAGTGAAGGATGACTAGGCCAGTACCCATGGAGTAGATGAAAATCCCAAGAAGTGAGCAGTATTTGGAGCTGCTTTTGCTCTGAGAGCATTAGCCCATCAGGAAGAACCAGCTGAAAGGCACTTTTGACTTTAACAGCACTTCTGAATATCCCATGAGTCTACAGGAATAAAAGGTGAAGTCTAGAGTCTGGAAGAGGTGGAAGCTTAGTAACCCCACCTCTCAATTATGAGGGGTTCTCAAAATGTGAATCAGAGACTGCAGCTCAGCCTTCAGTCATCTGGATGGCCCAAAAAAGTCCCAAATCCTGAGATTGGAATCAAGTTTGTAAAGGTCAACAGGGATTTAGCCAAACCAAGTGAAAATCCTCTCCGAAGGAAAAGAACATTATCCTAGGCCTAAAATTATTTCTACAAAATGCACTGTATTTTGCAAATACAATGCCCAGCACAAAATAGGAGAAAATACAAAACAGGCAGGCATAGTGGCTCATGCCTGTAATCCTAGCACTTTGGGAGGCCAAGCCAGGATGATCACTTGAGGCCAGGAGTTCCTGACCAGGCTGGGCAACATAGCGAGACCTCATCTCTACAAAAAATAAAAGTTAAAAAATTAGCTAGTCCCAGGTACTCAGGAGGCTGAGGCAGGAAGATCATTGAGCCCAGGAGTTCAAGGATGCAGTGAGCTATGACAGTGCCACTGTACTCCAGACTGGGTGACAGAGTAAGACCCTGTCTCTAAAAAAAATTTTTTAAATAAAAAAATTAAAACTATTTAAAAAATTTAAAATTAAGAAAAACATACAAAACAAAAACAGGCTTATGAGGAGATAAGACCACGTGAAAGAGAACCAGAACCAGTAAAAACAATAGGCAATAAAAATAGAGACTCCAGATATTTGGAATTTATATGACGACAGATTTAAAAATATCTGTTTTGCTATTTTCAAGTACAAGACAATATGAGAATTCCAGAAGGGAACTGGACATAATAAATATAACTTAGAAAATTTGAAAAGAATCAAATTTCTAGATGTGAAAAACACAAGTACTAAAAATTAACAACGTAATAGATGATTTAAAGGCAAATTAGATCCCTCTGAAGAGAAGATAAGAGAAGAGCGATAAAGGATTAAGTAAAACATACATGGTAAAATGTTAACAATTAGGGAATTTGGGTGAAAAATCTATAGCAGTTCTTTTCACCATTCTTGTAACTTTTCTGTAAGTCTGAAATGATGACAAAATAAAAAGTTATAAAAAATAAGGGTAAAATAAACACATTGCCCAATAAGTAAAAGTTTATTCATAGCAAACCTGCTGTCAAATGCTAAACAAAGGCTGAATGAAATACCTCAGGTTAAAAGAAAATGATATCACACTGAAACTCGGATCTACACAAAGAAATAGCACTGGAAATGAAATGTGGATAAACAGAAATATAAATCCTTTTTCTTAATTTCTTTAAATGATTTTTAAAGCAAAAATAATATTATATCTGTAGGGATAGATAATAATCATTATATTAACAATACATATTATTAACAATAAATAACTGCATGTTACAATAAGAAAAAATCTAGACAGAGAGACACTAAGAGTTCTTGTGCACAGAGAAATGACCATGTGAGGACAAAGAAGTGAGAAGGAGGCCATCTATAAACCAAGGAGAGCATAGATTCTTCCCTTACATTCCTTCAGAGAAAACCAACCCTGCTGGCACCTTGTTCTTGGACTTCTAGCCTCCAGACTGTGAGAAAATAAATTTCTGTTGTTTAAGTCACTTAGTCTGTGGTATTTAGTTATATTAGCTCTAGCAAACTAATACATAATGTATTTTTTATTTTCAAAGATTTGAAATTTGTAGTATATGTCTGGTAAAATATTTTTTTTCAAAATACCAGAAAGTGAAGAATAAAACTGAAAGTTTATTTTTCTTTTTAAAAGGCAATACCTCAAAACCACAATGAGAGCCCACTTCAGACCCATTTTCTGTTTCCAAAAAAGAAGAAAAATAACAAGTGTTGGCAAGGATATGGAGAAAATGGAACCCTCAAGCATTACTAGTGTGAGTGTAAAATGGTGGCAGCCCTGTGGAAAATAGTTTGATAATTCCTCAGGAAGTTACATGTTGAATTACCATATGATCCAGCATTCCACTACTAGGTATATACCCCAATGAATTGAAAGAAGGGTCTCAAAGAGCTATTTGTACATCCATGTCATAAGCAGCATTATTCACAATAGCCAAAAGGTGGAAGCTACTCAAGTGTCTATCAACAGATGAATGGATAAACAAAAGGTGGTACATACATACTATGAAATATTATTCAGCCTTAAAAAGTAATGAAATTCTGGCATGTGCTATAACATAGATCAACTCTGAAAAATATGCTAAGTGAAACAAAAGGACAAAATACTGTATGGTTCCACTTACATGAAATACCTAGAATAGGCGAATTCCTAGAAAGTAGAACAGTGGTTACCAGGGGATAGGGGAAGGTGAAAATGAGGTGCTATTGTTTAATGAGTACAGAGTTTCTGTTTGGGATGACAGAAGAGTTCTGGAAATGGGTAAGTGATGACGGTTGCACAACCATCATCATTTTAAGTATATTCACATTGTGAATATACTTACTACCATTAAATTGTACACTTAATAAAGATTAAAATGGTAGATTTTTATGTTATATTTGTTTTATCACAATTTTAAGAAAAGGCAATACCTGAGGAAATGGAATGTCATAATCCCTGTAGAAACCACTTCTTTTTCTATGGGAACTTTCTGTATGTTCGACATCTGAATCAAGGCTGTAGTCTGAACTACCATCACTAGATGGAGAATTATGCTGAAAGAAAGGGAAAGACATAAATATGTTACATTTGCAAAGGAAAGAAAATTTAGTCAGTAGCTAAGCTTGTTTCAGCTAGAGGTGCCAACCAGTAGATTACATTATTCCAGTACTGAAAAATTCTTGCTCCAAAAGCCACCATCACTCCAACTTATCTAAGGTTTTCTTGGGGGACAATATAGCTTCCCTCCTGATCAGGGACTTCAGGACAGGATTTTCCTCATCATCCCTTTGGCCCAAACAGAAATAAAGCATCTCTGGTGTCTAAAATGATCTTACACTTAAACTAATCCTAAACAAAGTGAAATTGACTTATCACCAAAAAGGTAGTCCTGGCACATGAGAAGAGTATGTATTTATTTTTACCTTAAATGACTTTGGAGTTCTTTTTCTATTACATGAGTACCCTAAAACTAAGATACCAAAACACTCCAAATTACAAATATGAAATAAACCAGCCCACAAATTTGAACAAAAGTGAAATGAAAACCACAAGTAATTGATAATGACTGACAAATATCAAGAGTAAGCTTTTTCAAGTATGAGTACAAATTCAAAAGTGATCAAATTTCCCCATCTGGTCAAAATAATTACCTTCCAAGGTTGAGCACTCTCTTTAAAGAGTTCTTAAGTTTGTTAGCAATAAAGACACTACCTCTGTATTTTATTATCCTTGATTCCCAGCATCTAGCTCTAATACAAACTCAGGAAAAATTTGCTTGATTGAACTCTGATGCTCTTACAGGTAAAGGTAAAAGAAGAAGGATCTGTTTTCCTCTACTCCATTCTTAAATGATGTTTTATGGAAGACAAACTGCTTTCCTCCATTTTGTTCCTAAATGGGGACTCGTTTTGTGGTATCATCAGTTTTGTTTTTGCTGATTTGACAGGTGATATGAAGAAATCTTTTTACAATTACACTGTCAAATCTTCTACTTTAAGTACCTAATCTTTGTCGGGGTTTAAAATATTAATAAATACTGTCCATTAAAAATCAAGTATGCTCAGTTACTATCAGAAGTCAGCTCCAGCCCTATGGAAAACCTTTCACTTGGAAAAAGCTTAAGGCATAAGACTTGTTTAAGATGAATCTCAAGGGAAGATACTGCTTCAGGAAAAATGATCAGCAAAGAGAAGATTCTGCATAAGGGGAAGGTTCTTTAGCTATTCCCAAAAAAATGAGGTGAGAATGTATACACTTTGTGGGTCATACACAAGCAAAGTAATTCTGACCTGAAATTGGCAACTGAACTACATTAAAAATAGCTGGAAACAGTATCCAGTCACAAAATTTAAGTGAAAAAATATGCTTGGAGAATATTTACGTTTTGTTTTTAATTTTTATTTTACCCATAATACATACACTGGTGGGTTTTTCCTTCAACATAGTTGGTTGGTAAGTACTATACAGTTCAAGTCTAAATTATTATGTTTTCTATAATACTCTTAAACACCATCACATCACCTCATGATGAGTAAAGAGACCAAAAGATACACAATTCAAGGACTAATTAACAGGAAAGCCAAATAGTTACCCTTTAAATATTCAAAATTGTGACAGAAAGAATTTAAGGCCTTAGGTAACTCCCTCCAAAAATGCTGTGTGTTTCTTTGAGCAACCAGCTAATTCTTACCTCTCCTTCAAGATTTACTGAAGAGCCACTGAATCCCTCCAAAATTCTAATGTCAGGGAAGCAGTCTGAGAAAACTCCTCAGCCATATATTCATACTACCTTTCATTAAAAAGGAAAATAGCCCAGAGGGTGGATCCACGGTCTATGGAGAGAATTACTCCCAGACTTTGAAATCTAATCAAGACAAAATCATGAGAATGCTCAAGTAGTCTTTGGAGAAGCCCATATGGCAAGAGATTATCTGATTTTTGAAGGTTGGACAGAACTCTCCTTCGAAAAGATTTGGCCCTTGTGTTTCTTAGTAGGGGAAATTATAAAATGTATTCTCCAAAAGGCCTCTTAGACTTTTTGACTCTCTGGAATTAATTTTTTCAGGTTGTATTTTTCTAGAAAATTACCTATTTCATCTTGGTTTTCATATTCATTTTTATAAAATTACATAAATAAATCTCTTATGGTTTTAATTTTCTTTTTTTGATAGTTACTTCACCCTCAGCCTATCTAAATTTATTTTCCTTTCCTTTTTTTTCCTTGATTAGTTTGGCCAATGACTTAATACACTGTTGATCTTTTTTAAAAACTACTGACTTTTCATTCTAATTCATTAAGCTCTGCTTATAACTTTATTAAGTACTTCCTTTTTGTTTTGCTTTTTTATTATTCTAGCTTTTCAAGCTGGGTATTTAATAATAACCCACTTTTCTTTTGTTTTTATTGCTGTGGATAACTAATACTATAAAACTATAATTTTTCTTCCAACAATTGCTTTAGCTATATTCCATAGATACTACGTCAAGATTTTTATTATTTTCATGAGATTTCTATAGTTTTAACCTGTTTCCCCTTATGTTACACAAGCTATTTACAGTTTGTATATGAATTACCAAATAAAAAAGCATTGTTGTTTTTTGACTTTATTATTAATGCTAGTTTTATTGCATTGTGGTTTGAGATGGCTCTTTGTACTATTTCTACTCTATTGAATTAATTGTAGTTTTCTTTGTGGCGTATGATATGGTCAAAATTTTTATGAATATTCCAAGTGTACTTCACAGGAAGATGTATCCTCAGGAGTCTGAGCTTATATGTATATCTTTTCAGTATCCTTGCCACCTGTTCATCCACTTTACTGATCTGTTTGGATTAAGAGAGGTATATTGGTCAATCTACTATTAGAAGTATATTGTCTATTCCTTCTTGCAGTCCCTATAGTGCCTGCTTTATGAAAGCTGCTGTTTTGGGGAATATATAAAATATCACTAACATCTTCATTGTGAATTATAAGCTTTAACATTATAAAATGCCCTTATTTCTTTCAATGATTTTTTGACCTAAATTTGATTTTTTCAGATATCAACATTGTGACTTCTGCCTTCTCTTTCTTTGCATTTACCTGGTATAACTTTACTATTTTTAAATATCTTTTTCTTGTACATAGCTTAGAGTTGAACTTTGCATTGTTGGGGGGGTGTATCTTTTGGTATTTAGAAAGGCTTATATTTTTTGTTTCAATGATTTCCTTCATACTACTGTCTTTTTCCAATAACCATAGTCACTATTTTTGCATACTACTTATTTACTAATCGAAACAATGTTAAAATTAGGCAGTAACCCCTTCTTTCTTCTTTCATCCCCAGGATAATAATTTGAAGTAACATCTTCTTACTCTCAGTTAATAACAATAAGACAAATCAGCAAGTTCATGTTGCTTTACCATAGACTCTTCTGCATTTCCTGACATTTTTTACAGTTGTAATGTTCCAATACATAATATATGGCTGCCCTTACCCATCATTTAGTCTTAGTTTTACAAGTAAATATGGGTATGCATGTAGATCTCTCTCTCATTCCCTCTCTCTCTCTCCAGTCATTTTGGTTATCTGAACTTGTTCTTGAATAGATTCTACAGACAGGCTCAGGTTCACAATATTTCCAGAGTTCTTACATGTATAGTTTGTCTAAAGATTTTATATTTGCAAGTCAGCATTTAACTATCTAGCTTTGAAATCCTTGGCTCACACTTTATTTCCTTGAGTATTTTATTTAAATTTGTCACTTCATTATCTTTTGGAATAAAATTATCAAAAATTTTTATATAAATTTGATTTTCTTTTCTTAAGGCACTTGGTCTTTCTGCCTGGATGGTCAAATAATTTTTTTCCAAATTCTATTTATGCTGCTTGATAATTGCTTGTATTGTTTTCTTAATTTCTTATTATTTTGAAATAATATGTTAAATTTTTTATATGCTTTATGGTATTCTTCCTTTTCTAGAAGACTATTATTCTCTCTGTTATACTCTTTTTTCTTATTATTAACATCTATGGAATGTGACCATAGTCCCATCTTGCTGTTTATGTGAAAAATGGATGGAATGAGCCAAGATAGCTTTCCTAGTTTCACGGCTCTAGGGTTATCTCTTCTGTTGTTAGCATGAAGTATTTAAAAACATGGCTGTTTTTTTCTGCAATATGCCTCTTTTGCTTCCTTCCCCCATTTGTTACCTGATCATTTCTTTCATTGGCCTTAGTATACCTGTCTCTCAATTTAGATTCTACTCCCAACATTTACTTCCTCAGTATAGAACTCTGTCCTAGAAAAGGGGATTTGGTTGATTAGTATTAGGAGTTCATCAGGCCCAGACCCTTCCAGCACCATCCAATTTTCTGTGGTCATCTTACATTCATGTGTGAACTGGAGGTAGTGGAGCCTCCTCCCAGTTGTTGTTGCTGTTCTCAGATAGGCCCAAAGCTTTCCAGGTTGAGTGTGTACTTCACCATTTAAGGTAAACACCCGCTGGCAATTTTTTTTCTGTAAGTCTCTTTACTTTCCCTCTGTTTCATTTGTACAGCTGCAGATACTACACTGGTCTTGTTGCTGTCTATGATTTGGGCCCAACCATTGGTATTTTTGAGGTTTATGGGGATAACTTGTTTCTTCACTTTTTTATAGATGTTGTCAAAGGGTTTTTGGTTTGGCTATCCTAATTGCTGTATTTTTATGGGAGAAATTCAGGGAGTTCCAAAAACTGCTCCTCCACTGCTGCCAACCTTTCCCTGATTTCTCTATCAGCATAGGGTCCCACCCTAAACCCACATTATTCTCCATCAAGCACCCTGTTTTCTTGATAGCATTTGTTTTTTATTTGTTTACTGTCTCTCCTTCCGATTTCAATGTAATCTCTATAAAAGCCAGTTATTTCACCCAGTTTTATAATCCCCAGCACATAGAATAGAGGTTGTCAAAGTACTCAATAATAAATATGAATAAATGAACAGATGAACAATGCCAGTGCTATTAATCTGTATCTGTAGAGAATAGCATTCTTTTCTTAACCTTCCAATATCCTTGCATACAATCTTCTATCATAAAAGATTATGTTATTTTAATCTGTAATAATTAAGATTTAACTTACTTTTTAAATCTTTATTTTGATATTTCACATAATATTTATGCTTAGAAAAACTGTTAATTACATAAATAAAAACATTTAATCCATACATTTTATAACAGAATAGGTAATAATATACTTTCTAAGTTTCCATATTTTATATTTCCTAAAAATTTACCAAAATAATAAAAAGTAGATTCAACTAACCTTATGTTTCTCACGTTTTCTCCTTTTGGATTTTTTCTTCTCTCTTTCTTTCTTGTGTTTTTTTCTTGATTTTCTGTAGGCTTTCTCATTTTTCTGCTTTTCATCCTCTTTTGTTTCCTGTTCTTGTGTTTCTTCATATCCTGCATCATCTATTTCACCATCTTCTAACTCACCATCTTCTCTGTAGAAGACAATGAAAATTTTAATGTTCAAATGTTAGTTCTAAAACAAATTTTACAGGAACATTTCAAAAGAAAAAAGCATGTGCCAAGGATTTAAGTTATATTCATTTAGATAAGGGATTAAAAACTTTTCTATAAAAGCCCATAGTAAATATTTTATATTTGCAGACCATATATGGTTTCTGTTGTGAATTCTTCTTACTTTTTTTTTAACAACCCTTTAGAAATGTTAAGAACCATTCTTAGCAGCCAAAGTTTGCTGACCTCTGATTTACATTAACATCACTGCCTTCCACAAAATGAATGAATGAATATAGTATTATCCTAAAGTAGTGTAGTAGTTACCTTTAAAAAAAGGAAGGTAAACTAAATCATAGTACTATAGAAAACATTCTAATTATAGGAAAGAATTTTTAACTTAGTGGCCTGTACACAGCTATGAACAGCTTTAGAATAAAAGTGATCTATATTAATTCTTGCCAATAAACTAAATTTCAATAAATTTCAGTACACAAAAGGAGAATTGTAAATTCCTTGACTTGAATCTGTAAAAACATTCATATTAAAACTAGTAAATCTAATTCTACTTTCCAAATACTAGTATCTTTGCTACTATGGAGGCTAAATCCTAGAACAAACTGACTTTTAATTGATTATGACATTTTAATAGTTACAGAAGCCAAAAAGATCATTAATAGTATTTTTAAATACAAACAAACCAACTGATATACATATGAGAAATACATAAAATAATTTTAATATTTAATCATGTTCCTATAACATTATAGTTTGAAAAACTGCAAACTACTATAAATAGTCATGGTAGCGCAAAAAGACAAATGTCTTTGCATAACTGGTAGCAAATGAGAAACACCCAAACTATGGTTCATATATTTTAAAGGTAATTTAGAATTACTAGGAACATGTAATTCCAATGCAAACTGATCATGTCACTCTCCTGCTATAAATCTCCTGCTTTGAGATATGATATCTCAAATTTGATTCAAAATAATCCACTGGTATGGATGAAGTGGTCTCAACAAGATTAGCCATGAGTTGGTAATTGCTGAAGCTATTCGATGTGTATAACATGATTCATTCTATTATTCTTTATATGTTTTCTGAAGTTTTCTATAATGAAAAGATAATCTTCAATGTTCCCTCTGCTTACCCAGCTACTTTCAATTTCTCAAGTCTCCAAGCATTAAACATTGCCCAAAAACTCTCACTGCCCTGCTCACCTCAACTATTATAACCACCTCCATCACCTGGCTATTCCAATTCAATATTTAAGACCCAGTTTAGATGTCATTACCTCCAAGATGCCTCTCTTTACTACCCAGGTTTAGGTGAGATGCTCCATCCTAAGATCTCCCCTAGTAACCCTCATTCTCTTATCACTGTACTCTGCACATTATGTTCAAATGACTTGTTGTTTGGTTGGTGGAAACAAGGTGTATGACTGTCTTTCACAAATATATCTCTAGCACCTACCATGGCACCTTGCTGTTTACTGAATGATTGAAGGTATTAAATATCCATAACTCTTGCATGATAGAACAGGCATATGATACCACCCTAAGTTGGCTGTAAATTTTATACCTGGAAATCACTAATTCATATTTAGCATTTAACTAGAACTATTTAAAAACAAAGTATACATGCTGAAAATGCTGCCTATAAATTTGTGTCCTACTTTACACAAATTCTTTAAATATGAATATAGGCCATTTATATTTGTTATAAGATGTAAAACACTGCTAGTTTTTTTCAAATCCGTCTTCTCCCTTAGCCTATTTATCACTTCAGCCTTCATACAATAGCAGATTTAAACTTGTAAATTTATGTATCTTTACAAAAAATGGGAGAGAAAGAGGAAGTAAAGAACAATACTTCACAATTCTATGAACGGCTCCCAAATGCTTTAAAAAGTCAGCTTTGGACACATACGGAAAGCATGTGTGGCATAATGGAAAGAGGAGACTTCATGGGAGGAAAACTGGATTCTAATTCCAGCTCTGTCACCAAAATAAAACAAAGCTTTCTTGACTAGGCATCTACCAATGTATCAGATATTAACCTAGTAGTCTTGAAAAAAAAACAATAAAGGAAATAATAGAAGTAAGTAATTAAGAGTGGTTGGCATTTTTTAGATTTTGAACTAGCTCAACACTATTATAAGCACTGTTTGGTTTACTAAGCCAAGCTATTTTTAAAAACTTAATAAATTAAAAAGAGAAGTTCCTAGCTCAATTATAAATAGGTAATGTTTTATTAATATAAAAATAATAGAGTGATTATTCCTTTTTAAACTAGCATATTCATGTTTGTGTACCAAAGACTGGCAAATAACTGTCCATTTAATAAACAAAATTATTTGTGAAAGAAGTTATCTCTTAAGAAAATCCATAGAGACAGAAAGTAGATTAGGGATTGCTAGGTAAATTAGAGAAAAGAATGTGGAGTGACTGCTAATGGGTACAGTGTTTCTTTTAGGAGTGATGAAATGTTCTAAAATTAGATAATGGTAATGATTGCAAAACTCTGAATATACTAAAAACCAGTGAACCCTAAACTTTAAAAGTAGGCACTGTATCTCAATAAAGCTGTTATTTTTTTAAAAATCAAGTTAAAAAATATTTTTTCTCTAGATTTAAATGTGTAGATTGCAGATAACTGGGGAATAGCATAATATACTATAGCATAAATTAAAGACTCTGAAATTGGTCAGCACCCTCACTGTCTAAGATATGTTCCTATTCTGAGGTAATTATTCACTAAATCTTTATAAATTATAATAATATGCCTCAATAGAAAGAGAAAAATTCTATTTTCTCCATTCTGATATTGTTGGCTATTAAAATAAATTAACCTGAACCATTCAGTCTTACCTCCACAAGTAGTTTCTGCTTTTTCTTTATGCATGCCTAAAGGCTCCTGTTACAAGCTACATATAGATCTGAAACTGAGTCTTCTGGAAGAAACACAAAAGCCTCAATAAAAGACTATCCAAGTACTACTGATGGATATATTACTTAGACATTACTCATGAATACAAACTTCCTGGGATAAGCTACTATAACCACAAGAAAGACATTTTTCTGAATGTTCCAAGTGACTGTGTCAGGATTTCTTCACAGTCCAGGAGCAAACAACTTAATAGAAGTAGACTGCTTCTCCTAAGACCAACAGAACACAGGTTTCCTAGATACTTGAAACTATTACTTGTAAACCATTAGTTCTTTTCATGCTTTTGTACTAATTCATGCAGTCATTTCTCCCTTACCATGGATGATAAGGTAGGGGAACTGTTCTGTACTGGTGCCCTGGCAATCATGCATGTCCCCACACAGGCCACACAGCAAAAGGCTCAACCACAGGCTGACCTATGCCTTGGCAGGATGCCCTGTGATCCTCCAGATATGGAAAGATACACAGTCTTTTGAGGTGCTGCTACAGGCTATTTCTCAACTATCTCCCTATTTTGTGGGAGGCTGCTGTGAGGCAATTTCTCATCCATCTTCCTTGATTCCAATGAGATCTGAGATCTCCTTGCCTGCTCCTTAGGATATAGCTGCAGACTAAAAAATTGCTTGGCTACGGTACAGAAAGTGTTCCTCAGCAAAACAGTGCTTGCCACTCATGTCACCTACCATCTGGCCCCTTTGGTTTCACTGTTATCCTGTGAAACAAGGGACATGACCATGCTGATCATGCATTTGTTGTCTATGTTAGTAATAACCTGAATCCTATTGGCTGAGTCTGTTGGCATGCTTGACAGATAACTTGCTTGGATCTTGGCTTTGCCCATACCTACTCTAATATTTTCCTTCAATCTATATAACATACACATGGTCCTCTTCATTAAGCTTCTTCATTGAACTAACTCCCTACCTTTCCCCGAAACAAATTAGACATTTCCCCTCAAGGAACATACTGTCTGGTCATACTGAGGCATGGAAGAGTTACCTGACATGAGTTTTTGTGGTTTTATGTTTATTCCCAAACTGGACCTTGGACATTTGCATCCTGGATGGCTTATCGTATTTCAGTTTCTCTTTATAATTTCAGAAACAGTTCCTCTTTACAAATTATCAGTGGTGAATACCTACAGCCTTTCAAGCACTTTTATCTTTATTCTTTATCCAATAGATTCCTTACACGCTGTGAGATTTATTTAATTTGTAGAAACTCAGCTTACTCCTTTTTGACTATCTACAGCCATGGCAATTTTTACTTAGTTTGTTTTACTTCTCAGGCCAATCCTAGAATTTTTTTAAAGCCTCAACTCAAATATAAATTCCTTCAGAAATGGAACTTAGTATAAATATGTAGGCAATATTACAAATTTTAATTAGCCTAATGTCCTTCATAGTCCTATGACAACCTTCACAAATTTTCTTTAACTCCATGTAAGGCATCTCTACCCCAGAGATAACTGAGAAGTCTTTTCTTACTCACTTTTCTTACGAGTATCTCCTCTTTTGTTTATGAAATTGTAGGCGGCCCTCCTAATCTTCATTTCCTGAATCAATAACATATTTGCTCATATTTGCCTCATCAGAACCTAATTTGCATACATAACTCTATACAACCTAATTTACATAATAAATCCATGTAACAATGTAATAATTAGCTGGTTTTCAATACTTCCTTCCCTGTCTTTCAGGAGACCATGTTTCTCTGGTAATGTCTGAGGGCAACTTGAAAAAGCTACCAAAACTTTGTTCATAACATTGACTGAAAAGATTAATAGAACTGTGAAGCCCTAAAAGTACAATAAACTCATCTAAAATCACTCATCCAAGACCTTATGGATAACCGCACAGCTCTAGATTTCATGTTGGCAAGCCAAGAATAAAATATAAAATATTGCTAAAATTTCCTGCTGCGAGTGGACTAATATCATAGGGAAAGTTGACCAATCTATAGTCAAACTGAAAGGACAACTTGGCTAACCAAAAGTGGACTCAGAAGGACTCTTGAAATATGATATCCT